AGCGGATGACGGTCTTGATCGAGCCGTTTCAAATGGGGTTCCACCGTCACTCATCCTCTTTTTTTGGCGACCTTAGTGAGAATATGAGTAAATACTAATTGTAAAATGTAAAATATCAACAAGGGAATTTACGAATGAATCAAAAAACTATTGAAAACCCTCGTTTTAAACTAAAAAACTTTATTTAAGATGAGGGCTTTATAAACGAAATAATAATAAGCAATGGAATTGAGTTTAAAGTTTTAAAAAATTACATAACAATAGCAATTTTTTGAAAGTATTGGGTTGTCCAGTTATGAATGCGCGTTTTTTTACTATTTTGTAAATTTCTCAGGATACCGAAATCAAGAAAAAGATATATATGAGTATTATTCGAAAGCTGAAGATCTCCTCTACATTTTGATATAAAAAGTTTTTGAATCTTGTTCAGCTTTTGGGCTAATTGACTGCGCAAAAGAAGAGGTGGCCAAAAAATGGAAGGGTGCCTTTGGATCAAGTTTTGGCTCCGCTCAAATTGAGTTAACCGTTTGATGTTTGACCAATAGATATATCAATATAACTTTTTTTTTAATATAACAATTTCAGAGCAGCTTTTCTTTTCTTTTCTTTTCTTTGCACTAAAAAACTTGAGGAATAGCTAAGCTGAAGTGGATTTTTTCGAAAACGACCTCTCCCTTTGCAGTCAATTTCTTTGTGCAGTCAATTTCCCAAAAAGTTGAATGAATTCAAGAGGTTTTTTTATTCCAAAATGTAGAGGGGATCTTCAGCTTTCGAATGATATATAACACTCGTGTACATCTGTATATACATATACATCCAAAACTTGATCTAAAGGCACCCTTCCATTTTTTTGGCCACCTCTTCTTCTGTGCAGTCAATTTGCCCAAAAGCTGAACAAATTCAAAAACTTTTTTTATCAAAATGTAGAGGAGATCTTCAGCTTTCGAATGATATATAACACTCATATACATCTGTTCGGTATCTTGAGAAATTTACAAAATAGTAAAAACGCGCATTCATAACTGGACAACCCAATAATTTCCAAAATTTTCAATTCAAACTTTAGAAAAATGAAGTCAATGATTCTTTTAGTCAATGATTCAATAAGTTTCTTGTAATCGTTTTGTGAAAATGTTCGCCAATATCGATGCAATGCTCTTTTGTTTGATGAACAGCTGATAGAGGAGAGGTTGATGGAAGCACGGAGAAATGGTGTCATTTGGAAACATTCGTAGTTAGCTACAATTAAGCATTGGGATTAGATGGTAAACGAGTAGAGAAAATGGTAAAAACTCTTTGTTTACATAGAGAGGAGATTTTAAGGTGACAGTGTTGCGTTCCAGCTGCTTTATTACTAAAGTGAGAATTTGTCTTTTTCGGTAGCCAACAATAGCCATTAACCAGCCAAAAGCCAGCAAAGCCAAAGGCTTTCAATTGACTTTTATTTGGGATTTCAATCTTACCGTTGGATTTGGTCTAATACTTGATTGTCTAATGCTTGATTGTCTAATACTTGATTGTCTAATGATGGATTAGCCTGAAAATTTAAGTTGTGTTTTTTTTCTTTGCTTTTCCTGCATTTCACTTTTGTGTGGATAGATTTGATAAAAAAAATAGAGACAAAATTACGGTAGAAAGTGAAAAAGGCACGGTTTAGAAAGCTTTATTACCTGGAAAACTTTTAAGAATATGAAAAACAATAAATATCCAGTTATTGACTTATCATCTCTTCTTTGAGAGTTGTTCTCTTAAAGAAGGGAGAAAGAAAGAAAGAAAGGGAGAAAGAAAGAAAGAAAGAAAGAGAGTTCTGTCAGCTGTTCTCTTTCATTTCTCGTGAAGAAAAGTGAGGGGTTCTGAGGTTCTGAGAGAGTCAAATAGAAAATAGAGATTGAAGGACCCAAAGGGGTTGAGGGATCGGGCCCCCCCTCAAATCTCCTTCTCTTTTATCTTTTCCCTACCTTTGACCACCTAAACGATCACTTTTCGGATTTACGAGTTTCCTTCCAGACTTTATTCTTTACCTGAACACTTTACTATCGCAAAACTTTTCAAACGCTTTCGTTTATGCATCAAATAAGTGTACAAATATCAAACATGCTGATGATTAAGTGAAAATTGTTTTTTTTCTGAGATCCTGATCACTTTTTAACCTACTCAAACCATTTTAAACCTACAAGGCCATTTTAAAGCCATTTTAAACCTATTAATCAAGAGTCTATTTCAAAAAGGCCAAAATCCAGGTTTTTCAACCGATTCTAGAACATGTAATACACTGCCATTGGAAATCCAACTTTAAGCTCAAATTTCTTGGTGTTGAGCTGTTCAATTTAAATAGTTTTTGTACCAATCGACAGAAAATGACTTGGCGCATCCAATTATACCAAAATATTTATATTGGGAAGCCCAGCACAAAGATATTTGAGCTCAAAGTTCGGTTGCTAATGGGAAAAGGGGCGCAGCGCGTACGACACGAAGATAGGTTTCCTTAGTTAAAATTGTCTAAACCGTATCTTCGTATTGACCTTTTTGACTACCCGACTTCATGCTCCCAAAAAGATCCAAATGTAAGACATTTTAAACCCGTTTCAAATGGGCGCTTCTAAAATGTTGGATAACCTTTTCAACCGATCAAAGTCATTTCTGTGTTTTGTTAAAAAAAATTTCGATTTTTATTGGTAATCAAAGTGTTCTAAATGGCACTGAAATAATGCTTGATTGTTGTAAGAAAGCAAGATCGGGGGGGGGGGCGGGGGTAGTCAAAACAGCGCCACAATAGAAAACGTCCAAAATAGCGCCGTCAAATTTCTCACAATCCAAAAAACCAAGCCGGTTCAAGTCTTATATCAAAAAAATTCCTTGCGTTCTTGTCTACATGATGGGTAAAACAGTTTTAAAAAAGTTAATATTTCATAGATAAAAAGGGCACTGAAAATAGGTCTCTAAAGATATTCAGTTAACCAACTGAGTATCACTCGACACACATTTGAGTGCCCTTTTTATCTATGAAATATTAACTTTTTTAAAAAACTGTTTCACCCATCATGTAGACAAGAACGCAAGGAATTTTTTGATATAAGACTTGAACCGGCTTGGTTTTTTGGATTGTGAGAAATTTGACGGCGCTGTTTTGAACGTTTTCTATTATGGCGTTTTTTTTTGACTACCCCCGCAAGATCTGCTTAAGACCAAAAATTACCGTTTTTTGTGTGATTTTTTGGGATAAATACTTTGTAAAGGATAACAAATTTCAAAAACCGTAAAAAACTTATAAAAGTCTATTTATTCGACACGAATAATGAATTACAACAAAACGGAGGAAATTTTTACCCTTAGTTACCCCTTATGGTGAGATTTTAGGTCTGTGATATCACTTTTCAATCCATTTATCATTTGTGCTTCTCAATTTATTCTTATTTTTCTTATTCAATTCAATTTCCACAATTTATTCTTAATTTTAGTGCCTAATTTTAAAAGCTAATTTTAAATAGAACCATTTTTCTAGCAGATTTTAATAAATTTCTTATGAAATTTCGTTTTTTCATCTATTTTGTTTTTCATCTATTTTTTTTATAAACCTTTTCAGATAAAAGTAATTGTTTGCAGGTTTTCAAAAGCTCTATTGGTAAAACATTTGACTCAAAAATGGCGGAACGATCGACACCGACGTTTCAGGTAAAAAAACTCTTTTGTTTGTAGTACAGCTGAATATAGAAATGTAGCTGTACAGCTGAATGTAGAAAAACATTAGATTGTAGTATAATGTAGTGAAACACAGCACCAGCTGACTACGCTGGTCCTTTTAGGTTAGGTTAAAGCTGAAAATAGAAAAAAAATGATCGGCGCCGGGATTCGAACCCGCGACCTGCCGCTTAACGGGTAGAAAAACTGTTTTGTTTGCTGAATATTGTAGCATAATGTAGTGAAACACAGCACCAGCTGAATCGGCTGGTCTTTTTAGGTTATATATATATATAGATAGATAGATAGATATATAGATACTTTATTAAGGACCTGAGATAAAGTGCGCTAGATTTAAGATTAACACACATGAATTCATACAAATAACACGAAAAGAGCCGATAAAAAGCAACACGATATAATATATGTAATATATGGGTAGCACAGATAGCGTCAAGGATCCACTAGAGCTTCAAGATTAAGATCATCTACAGATAATTTAAAGGTTTCAAGGCTATTGGACTCTCTCAAAACTCTGGGGAGTCGATTCCAATTTCTGGGAGTCCAAATCCAAATATTACATACATTATATCGTGTTGCTTTTCGTGTTTATGTGTATATAGATACTTTATTCAAAACCGGAAATAAAGTATTTAAGATTTAAGCGCTAGAGTTAGGATTAGATTAATAGATTAATACACAGGAATTCATACACATAACACGAAAAGGGCCGATAAAAAGCAACACGATATAATAGATGTAATAGATGGGTAGCACAGATAACGTCAAGGTTCCACTAGAGCTTCAAGATCAAGATCAGGTTAGGTTAAAGCTGAGAATAGAAAAAATGATCGGCGGATTCGAACCACCGACCTGCCGCTTAACGGGTCAACGCTCCACCAATGAGAGATATAGACACGTATCCAATTACGGCCAAGATAGGGCCTTATCTCTTACCTTTAAAGCTATACTAGCTTACTTACCTTTAAAGCTATCTATTATCTGTATACAAATAATTTTAAGATTTAAAACGGACATCCTATTGCTTCCGACATTGTTTTATGCTTTGAAACATGTGTTTTCCATTTGTCTCGTTGTGCCTGATTTCCCTGATTTCCTGCTAGGCTGTAGAACTATTCATATCCGCCAATTTTTTTTTATAATATCTTTCTTTCTAACAGTTAAGAATTAAAGAATTGTTTTCATATTTCGATAACCAACAAACCCTTCATTATCATTGATTACAATCAACAATCGTTTACTTTCATCAAATTGAAACATAAACTTTAGATCGAATGTTAATTTAAGTCAATTTCGAGAGATTCTAGCATTATTTGTGTCAAAATTTAGGGTATTTTCCTCTCTGAAACAATGCTTTTTTTAAATCGTTTCCCTTTCTCTTTCTACCGTAATCTTATCTCTATTTTTATCCAATCTATTCACTTTTTTCTCTGTTTAGATTCAGAAAGGTTATCGAAAGATATAAAAATGAATAGATTCGATAAAAAAAGAGACAAGCTTACGGTAGAAAGAGAAAGGGACATGGATTAGAAAAAGCATTGTTTCAGAGAGGAAAATTTTTTTTTGCTCTAATACGGTTCCAATACGGTTCCTTTTTTGATCTAATACGGTTCCAATGCGATTCCTATTTTGATCTAATACGGTTCCAATACGGTTCCTTTTTTGATCTAATACGGTTCCAATACGGTTATGCTATTAGCGGTAATATTTCCTTACTTCCTATTGACTCACTTGAAACATACACTTTTCTCGTACGATAAAAGTGCATTTTGGAGCATTGACCCAAACTGAGTCTTTTCACTCACTAGTTGAAGCTTTTGCAGCTGAATTTCTTTCTCTCTCTCCCTCTCTCTCTCTCTCTCTCTCCAAAAAAAAATCCCTTCTCAATTTGGCCTTCTCCCGCACCCAATTCCCCTATTCAAGTCTAAATCCTAAAATCTCTTCACTTTTTTAGCTTTTTTTTTTTGTGGATCCATTCCATTCACTCTTCCCTAAATTCAACCCCAAAGCTTTCTTTCATTTTTTTGCCTTTTTCATTGTTAAACTTTTCAACGTAGAAAACAAATAAAATGAAATTTTTTTGAAAAATAGGTTCTCACATTGGTTTTCCATCCTTTTCCCACACTATCAAGAAACTATTTTTTTTGTGGTATTAAAAATTACTTTTCGATAGCTTATATATATATATATATATATATGCTTTATTTAGTTGAATAGCGACAAAACAAAATCACAATAATTACCCGGGACACCACTCAAAACACACCCAAAAGATAAATAGATACCTCAAGAAAGAATCACAGAGCAGTCAAATCAATTGCCGAAATTGCGGCTTTAAATCTAGCCAAGGTGGAAATATCACGAACATCAGGGGGTAAAATGTTCCAGAATTGGTTTTGTCGGCTTTCTTTTTCTCGGCTTCAGATTTCTTGGCATCCTCAGCCTTCTTCTTTGCCTCCTCATCGGCTGCTGCCTTTGCTTCTTCGTCAGCCTTCTTCTTTGCCTCCTCATCGGCTGCTGCCTTTGCTTCTTCGTCAGCCTTCTTCTTTGCCTCCTCATCGGCTGCTGCCTTTGCTTCTTCGTCAGCCTTCTTCTTTGCCTCCTCATCGCCTGCTGCCTTTGCTTCTTCGTCAGCCTTCTTCTTTGCCTCCTCATCGGCTGCTGCCTTTGCTTCTTCGTCAGCCTTCTTCTTTGCAGCTTCTTCTTTGCAGATTCTTCGTCGGTCTTCTTGGTCTTTAATAACTAGATTAAAAAAGAAACTGTGGGGGCTTTTAGAGGAAACGGAGGGTTGGCGTATGAGAAAAGGCCCCCTTCTGTAGGCGCCCCTTATATAAAATTCTAAGAATGAATAAACCGGATTATGAACAGCAAGAGCGACTAAAGACCAACTAAAGACCAATTAAAGACCAACTAAAGTTCGGCATCATAAATAATCAATAAAATCTTGAAACTTTGTTTTTCTAAAGATCTGAATTGACACTTTTAATCGAATAGTCATTAATTATTGTAAGTAACTTAAAAATCTTTTGGTTTTAAATGTGAATTTCTTAAACAATTAAACGTTCAGCTAGACGCGCCACCAGAAATGGAATCCGATGAGCTTTTGAATGAGCTGAGTCAACAAATCGTCAATGAGGTGCTACCAGCAGCTGAGGTTTGTCTAATTCTTAATTTTTCTTTTAAAACAATGATTTGGTGAATAAAGAAGAAGAAAAGAAGAGCTGAGTTTGCCAGAAATGATTTTTTTACGGATTCTTTGAAAAGATTTACAAAGTTCCTGTTGAAATCAACAAAATTATGACGATTAATCTTAGTTCTTTGATTTCCTAACAAAAAAAAAAACATAAAATAACTCTTTTGACTTCAGCTTGCCATTCAACAACAATTGGAACGACACGAGTTGCAGAGAAAGGTTGGCAGGAGGGTTTAAAGTTTAAAAGTTTAAAAAGATTCTTCTAAATTCGGAATTTGTAAAGTTCTTTGCGTGCTTGGTACTCTTCACTCAAGACACGTTATTTCTTGTTTCGAGATATCTGATCTCACTTGAACTAAGAACACTTTATTCAATAGCCGACTGACTCGGAATTTTTGGGCTTTTCTTGAGTTTTGGGCTCTCACTTGAGCAATTTTCATACAAGATCGACAATTGAATTAAAAGCGACGATAAAAAACAGAAACAATTTCGTCCTAATTAGGACACAACTTTGACATGATGAAGGGAAAGCAGAAAAGAGTAAAAAACGGATCAAATGAACAACAGTTGCCTTATACAGCGTGCGCCAACAGTTCACGTACTTGTATTTTCTGCATTTTTGGTAATTTTAGATAAAAGATGAATGATAAAAGAAGAGTGCCCAGTAACTGTGCCCAGTAACTGTGCCCAGTAACTGTGCCCAGTAACTGTGCCCAGTAACTGTGCCCAGTAACTGTGCCCAGTAACTGTGCCCAGTAACTGTGCCCAGTAACTGTGCCCAGTAACTGTGCCCAGTAACTGTGCCCAGTAACTGTGCCCAGTAACTGTGCCCAGTAACTGTGCCCAGTAACTGTGCCCAGTAACTGTGCCCAGTAACTGTGCCCAGTAACTGTGCCCAGTAACTGTGCCCAGTAACTGTGCCCAGTAACTGTGCCCAGTAACTGTGCCCAGTAACTGTGCCTTGTAACTGTGCCCAGTAACTGTGCCCAGTAACTGTGCGACCCAAGCACCCCTGGGCTCTTCCTCTTCTCAATCACTTGTCTTAAATAGTGTTGCACTTATAAATTAACCAGAAACGTTTTCTAAATCAGTTTTTCGTGAGGAATTCGAATTTCTTACTTTTAAAATCGTATCTTTTATCTAAAATTACCAAAAATGCAGAAAATACAAGTACGGGAACTTTTGGCGCACCCTGTATAGGCTTTAACACAAGATATTCAGCTAACAAGCTACAAAAAAATTAATGATTTGGGGTGCGAAATACACGAAAATGTAGAATGAAGGCGCACGGATTTCCGCAATACTTTTCCAATTTTTAGGCTGTCAGAGTTAGGTAACTTTTTAGTGGCTATTCGCCACAGAATTAGAAGATAAATTCATTTTTCATTCGATAAGAAATATAGAAATGTTGGGACTCTAGTAAAAGTACAAAAGTTAACTATAGATTTATAGCATCTTGCCTTTCAGCTTTCTTCTCAAACTCCTGACAACAACGGGACACCACCATCAAGTCCGAATGTAAGTTGGGAAAATAATAAACCATTTTTAGGATAAATTTAAGGAAACTCAAGTACTTTTAACTGTTTTTGGCATTTTTTATCGAAAACTTATGTTTTGCACTGACTTTGTTTTTTACTTGCGACCTTTTTCCTCTGGGTTGGCGCTTTAAAGCGTGGTAAAACTACCGTACGCTTTCTAATTTGCAGGTGGAAAGCGAGCAATTTCATTCTTTTATTCTTGTTCTTTATTTCATTTCATTTTTTCATTCTTTTATTCTTTCATTCTTGTTCTTTATTTAATTTCATTCTTTTTTTTCCTATTTCTGATGTGGTTTTCTTCGTATTCTTTAGTGAGTGATTGACACAACTTTGTCAAAGAAGTTTGCAGAAGGAATCGGTACATTCAAGAGAAACTTCTTTACAAATGGCACATTATCCACAATGGGAGCGCAATTTGAATCGTCTTACAAAAGTAGTTCCACAAACTAACATCTATATCATTATTTTTTGCCCGACATGCTTCGAACTTTAATTAACTGCACTGCAAGATACAGATGCAAGATGCAAGATGCAAGATGCAAGATGCAAGATGCAAGATACAGATGCAAGATCCGACACTGCAAGATGCAAGATGCAAGATGCGACACTGCAAAATGGTTTTATGACACAAAAAGGCGAAACTTGCCGAATTCCATGCAGAAAATGGAGAAACATCTTTTTTACATATCTAGAGGTTGTTGATTCAGTTGAGTTAAAAATCATGGTTGTTTTAGAATAATTACTGAAACACAGCATCAGAATGGGCAGCTTGAGGACGCTTAAATGCAGAAATACGCAAAAAAAGAATGAAATTGTGCGCTTTGTTTTATACCTATTTTATAGCTGGAGGAGGTACGGTAGTTTTACCATGCTTTAAAGCGCCAACCCAGGATTTCCTCGGAAAATGGTCGCAAGTGATTTTTTTTACGTTCAGGACCATTCACTAGTCGAGCCATTCGTAAAGAAAACGAGTCCAGCCACGGAAATTCGAGCCACTGAACAATCAGAAGCGGGAGAGCACACGATTACGGTTGGAGATTTAATGAACATGATCATAAATTTTAAAAACTTGCTTTTTTAATTTATTCATATTAAACCCGTACTGGAGATTAGTGATTTGAAGGTTTTGAAGATTTGAAGGAGAAGGTTCGCTTTAATTCTTTTTTTGAGTGTCATTAGCAATAGTTTGTTTCAACTTTTGGCCAGTCTTTTACTCTAAAAGTTGAAACAAACTATCGCTTTGAAAAGCAATAGTTGAAACAAACAAACAAGGTCAAAAGTTGAAACAAACTATTGCTAATGACACTCAAAAAAAGAATTAAAGCGAACATTCTGCCATTAGGCATTTCCATTGCATTTACACAACTCACAGTTGATATTTTAAATGTTATATCAATGTTTAATCAATGTTTAATCAATGTTTAATCAATGTTTAATCAATGTTTAATCAATGTTTAATCAATGTTTAATCAATGTTTATATCGAGGTTTTATCACTAATTCTTCCAATTTTTCAGGATCGAATCAGCTCCTCGATCTCGTCGACTTTTGCCGCCATTTCGGCGAGTACTGTGAGTTTTTTTTGGTAGCAATTTTAAAAAAACATGTCTCAAGCTCCTTCCTTAATCGACAAATTACAAATGTTTAATATTTACTACCTTATTTTCCTTCAAAATTCCTCCATTTCTTATCTTTTCCCCTTCAATTGTTTTCTCGGAAATTCTCATTCAGCAAAAATTCATTTTTGCCTACCATTTCGTTGATTGATGAAAGAAAAAGGGGAAATCAAGAGAAATTCCTAGAAAAATTCTGTCTTACAAAGTTTATTACACTTCAAAATATTGAATTGACAAGAAATTGCTTGATTATCAATGTTTTCAATGCTGAAGGTCAGTTTCAACATTTACGACTCTTCAATAAGTTTGAAACAACGTATTCTAACCGATTTTTAAAACTAGAATCAATAACTTTAAGTAGAACATTAACTAGAATCAATAACTTTAAGTAGAACATTAACTAGAATCAATAACTTTAAATTCTAAACATATCTTGGTTTCAAATGAGATTTTTGAATTTGAATTTTTGACTCTCTCTTTTTGACAGCTCTTTACTTCTCGATTATTTACAGGGTGACCAGAAATAACCCGGACAAACCTTTTTGAACCAATCTTCCCATGCAAATGGACTAAATAAAAATACCGGTACTTGTCGGTTATACACCCACAGAGACTCATCTCAGTTAAGCAAGAAGCTGACAACTTGTGAGGGGTGACTATGTTCAGTGAAGTAATGAAATTTAATAAAAACAGACTTTTGAATGGGTTACGATAGCTCTTACTGTAAGAAAGATACAAGATAAAGTATACAAAGAGTAAATCTATGCTTGGAATAAGGATCCTGTAATCTACTGTAGACGGATACTGTTTTCTAAAAGATGCTCTTGTACATTTTCCTATCGTTCATCATAGTTGCCTTGGTACTTGTCGGTTATATATCCACACAGGCTCATCCCGGTTAAGCAAGAAGCTGACAAATTGTGAGAGATGATGTTCAGTGAAGTAGAGTGCTCGTCTGAAGTGATCAGTCGATCAGTTGAACGAAAATCGATAACCGAGAAGACTCGGATGGAGATGCTTAACCGAGATGAGTCTTTGTGGATGTATAACCACTCCAATTTTTTTTTCCATTCCAATTGACGTCGCCGCCATTTGGAGGTAGTCAATGGGAGCGTCGCGTCATCGTTTCTTTTTATTTTTTAAAAATCATTTTATTTTTTCTTGTCGTTTTTTGTCAAATTTATTGAATTTATTCTTTTACGCAATAAATTTTGTTTCTCTTTGAAATGAGAAACAAATCTATTTCCATTTGGGAGCCGAGTGGAGAATCCGGAACTTTTCGTAGCCGGACCACAATGAAGGCCAAAACTAATTGTAAGATGGTTTGGGGAATTGAATGGGAACAACGAAAGCAAAGCTCATTTCCTGGAGCGTTACAAAACTAACCGGCTGATCGGACCATAATTGGTACCCTGTAGTTATATCTTACATTGAACCTATTCCTTTGTCGGTTTGATTGTCAACAGGTGTAAAACGGAAAACATGAGTTTTGACCACTTCATCGGCTACTTTTTCAGAGATTTCTTTCTACACGAAGGTTGAATTTCCAAGCTCTATCTTTTAATCTAAAAACCCGCGAAAAAATAGCCATTGAAGTGGTCAAATCTCGTTTTTCCATCGTACACCTATTGACAATCAGATCGACAAATGAACAACACACTTTTTTTTTGCATAAATTTACTTAACTTGTCAATAATTAGCAGAATATTGCCTTGATAGTGACCAATATTGAAACGAAATCTTTCCATTCTCTCTCTTTTCCCTTTTTTTCACTTACCCGACTGTCAAATCGTGTTTGCATGGTTGATTTGCGCAAAAATCGAAAAAAATCTCCCGACAAATTCTCGTTCAATCATTTTTCTCAGAAAAGAAAAAAAACATCAGCAGCAAGCCCTACCAGTTTACTCGAAATCGAGAAATGAATCAAATTTTTGCTGAATTCTCATTTATATTGAAATCCTCTCTAAAAACAGGCTCCAAAGCTGATTAAACACACTTTTTCTAGGATTTCCGACAAGTTTTTATGGGTTTTGAAACGGGGAAATGGAATGAGCTGTTGTTACGTAAACTTTTATTTGTTTTATTGTAAATTGTATTGTAAATTGTATTGTAAAAATTGTCATTTCATTGCCAATTCATCAACCTCAGCTCAGTTTATAAAAGAATTAGAATTTTTGAAACTTTCTTCATGAAAATATAGGAAAAGTTACAAAAAAAGCAAAAAAACCGTACAAAAAAAGTCATGTTTCAAATTTGAAAAAAATCATTTGAGTCATTTGTGTCGATTAATTTTAGTCGAAGCTGATGAGTGATACAATTTCATTTTGATTTTCTTTTATTCATTTTAATATTTTATTTAAATTTTATTTTATTCTTATAGTTTTTAAAGTTTAACTGCACATTTGCTAAATTTGCTCACAAGGAATCAAAAGGCTCAATGAATTATGTAAAACAAAAAATTGGGCTTATCCAATGAAAATTGGTGTCGTACGATCGTTTTCTATAATTAAGTACCTTTTTAGAAAATGTATAACTCGAGAAGAACGTTACATAGTACAAATTATTGCTTTAGTACGTTGCATAGTACAAATTATCGCTTTAGTACGCTACATAGTACAAATTATCGCTTTAGTACGCTACATAGTACAAATTATCGCTTTTAGTACGTTGCATAGTACAAATTATCGCTTTAGTAAGTTACATAGTATTTCACTCACTCAGTATTTCGCTCAAAACTCATGTTTCAATATAAAAACAATAGCAAAATAAATAAAAATGGTTAGAATATAAAAAGTTCGTTCTTTAAATCTTTTTTTTTTGAATGACTTCTGGCTGCTTGGCTTGAATTAAATCAATTTTTTTCTTTACAAAATTCAAATTATTATTTGATTATATACAATTATTATATATGTTGTGTCCGATTTAGATTTCCGTCCGATTTAGATTCAATCTAAATCGGACGTCCGATTTAGATTGAACTTATCGCGGACGTCCGATTTAGATTACAGTCTATATCGGACGACTCAATCTAAATCGGACGTCTTATATAGATTGAACAATAATATAAACATGTTTAGTATATGTTCTTAAGCGTTTTCTGTAGTTTTCTGCATTTTCAAAGGTCTTTTATTGATTATTTCATAGTTGGGTTTTCTTTTCAGAAAAAGACAGTAACAGACCTTTGAAAAATGCAGAAAACTACAGAAAACGCTTAAGAACATATACTAAACATGTTTATATTATTGTTTAATCTATATAAGACGTCCGATTTAGATTGAGTCTAAATCGGACGTCCAATATAGACCGTAATCTAAATCGGACGTCCGCGATAAGTTCAATCTAAGTCGGACGTCCGATTTAGATTGAATCTAAATCGGACGGAAATCTAAATCGGACACAACATATATAGCATAAAATACAATTCAAAAGAAACGTTGCCATTTTGAGAATTTTGAGTTTTCTTTCTTCCAACAATTTGAGAAACAAAAATTTCTTTTCGTTTTGATTTTTTTCCATGATCTTGTAAAAACAGCATAAAAACTTCAGAGAAAACGATTTTTCTCTTTTCGAAACGTTGAAAACAACAAATTTTGAGAGTTTTCTTTCATTTGAAAAACAAAAATTTCTCGTTTTGATCTTTTTCTTGCTAGAAATTGATTACTAAAATAATATTTTGTAAAATGCGCATTTTTGGTCGTATTTGAGTTCTGAGTTTGAAGTATTTATGAAAGTTATGAAAGTTATTGATTAATTAAAGTTCTAGTCGACTCCCTACAACAGAACTCTATATAACGGAATGGAATTTTGATCCCGACCGACGCTAAGCTATATATGTCGTAGCCGATTATGAATGAGTGGGTCTAGGAGCGTCCAACCATCAAGCATTTGGTATCATTCAACGCAGAATCATTAATAATTATGTTAAATTTTTTAAATTAGAAAGATTGGATAAAAAGAAAACAAATTATGGGGCCTCAAAGTTTCCTCTTGAACAAACAGTTTTTTTTGCTCTAATTTTTTTCTTTTTATTCAATCTTTCTAATTTTAAAAATTTAACATAATTATTAATGATTCTGCGTTGAATGACACTAAATACTTGATGGTTGCACGCTCCTAGACCCACTCATTCATAATCGGCTACAGGGGTCCCGCCGATTTTGAATGAAACGTTGTAGCGCCGGCAATTTTTAACCGAAACTCACAAATTTGGTTCCAATCGACGCAGAATTTAATTCGCTACAAGATGTTATAATATTGTCCTCATACATTAAAGGGTTGCTCTACTAGAAAGATTTGCCAAAAAATTTCATTCATAATCGGCTACGACATATATAACGGCACTCTAAATAATGGAAAAATTTTTTGTTCCCTTCCATTCTGTCGACTGTATTAAAGTTTCGATTTCTAAAGCTAAGTCGAATTCTTTAAAACTCAAAATTTTAACATTTCCATTATCAGCTCTTTCATTAACAAATTATACAAAAATCTATTAGAATTTGATATTTTTTAATAACCATTTCTACAAATCTAAATAAAAATCTGTATATTTCAAATAATTAATAATGATAATTTATTCAGATGATAAAATGAAACCCAATAAATTATAGGGAAACGCAAAGCTGATCATAAATGTAGAGACAGAAAGGAAGGTACGGGAGTGGGACAAATGCTACCTTTTTTTTGCGCACCCGGACATTTGCGCACCTTTTTTTCCGCACCTTGCCCATTAGCGCACCTTTTTTCGCGTCTTTTTAGAAAAAAGCTCTAGAAAGCTAATATTAACGAATTTCTATTCCAAAAGTTGTTTTTCTAGGTTTCTAGGTAATTTTAGGGCGTAGAATCGAAATTTTGACATATCAGAGCTTGTGGAAACAAACGGACGGAGTTATACAAAGAGAAAAATCGACAATTTTCTGTAATTTGATCTAGCCGTTTTGTCTTTTGGTTCCACATTG